AACTGTTGACAGCGTTAGGTAGGAAGTTCAGAGTCAACCTACTTGATGCCATTTTTCCCATATCTAATGCCTACTTTAGGACAGTATATTCAGGCATTGATCAACGTACCTCAGTTACCAAATCGTGGTCAAAATATATGGATGTAATTTCACTTAGCAGTAGTGGAGCTTGTGAAGACTGAAAAAAAAATCGTATTACTTTTGAAATAATAAGCGTCACCTTCCTTACCTCATGCTTGACGAGAGTTGCTATACTAATCGTTGCTAAACACACAGTAAGATACATCAGGTTCCAAAAGCACGAGTACATATCAACATCTATTTTCCTTTCCTCGATAATTTTGTTGGCGTACACCATTATCTGAGAATACGCGGTGACAAAAAACAATATTACAGTTATTCCACAAAAGTTCAAAAGTTCTTTGAATGCACTGCATAAAGTACCATGTACTAGAGCCATCGTGACAAGGTCTTTCTTCAGCTTTTCTAGATTAGTCTCTCTGTTTTCTTCTAAGTAAGTATTGATCGTTCTAAATCGGATATACATTATTGGTGCTATCATGGCATAAAAGAACGGGGTTACGGAAATGTAGACAGCGGAAGCACCAACTGTAAAAATATTTTCCAAAAACAAGTAAAAGCTTTTTTCTTCGACGTAATATTTTTGAAAAATTGCAGCAATTCCAACTACTATGGTGCAATTCGATAAATAGCTTATATAGATGCAAGCGTTGTACTTGACAGGCAAGTGCATTAATCTCATGTTTTCTTCAGCTTTGTGTACCAGGCCAAGTATCCTTGCAGGGAGGTGGTTCAGGACTGTGATATGGATTACGCCTGATATGGCCATAAGTGTCATTATAATGTGGAAGATGTAGGTTATAGAAGTCTCTCTAAAACTGCTTATCGTCATTTCACATAGAAGTGCGACTGCCAAATAGATCAGGGCACCTGAAATACATACCATGAATCTATAGAATACTGTAGCGTTTTTCTGGGTTCTTTTGGGTGTGGATTAAAACACTGGATTCCACAAAAAGGAATGCACTAATCTATTTAACTTGATAAGACATTTATATACACCACTATTTATGTCTGACTAATTCTTATGTCGCCATTGATTGCACTATACTCCACTCCGCTCTGCTCTGGTGTAATCTCTACTCTCCTTCCATCTCCCGGCCGCCAGAAAGGTCTGGCATCTAGAATACTGGAGGTCACTTCGCGTCGATCTAGAAGGTGAGTCACTGCCACGGTTCTCACAGACTCCGCCAAGCGGCTTGTGCGGTCGTGGTTCGCGTAAGAGCATAGATCGGCCATGAAGCTCTGGCGAGTAGGAGACTCGCCCAACAGATGGCGCCAACAGTACTATTTGTCACACTGCCCCCTCCCTAAAGTCATTCCGACCCGGAATGATCTTACTGGCGGTGGATGTCGATATCGGCACGACGGCCCTCTCTTGCAGTAGGAGTTCTTGAAGAAGTAACAATCCATACTCTTTCCAGGAGCCCATTGCTGCTTCCAGAAAGGTCTGATGAACCACAAAGCGGCATCTAGAATATTGGAGGTCACTTCGCGTCGATCTAGAAGGTGAGTCACTGCCGCGGTTCTCACAGACGCCGCCAAGCGGCTTGTGCGGCCGTGGTTCGCGTGAAAGCATAGATCGGCCATGAAGCACTGGCGAGTAGGAGACTCGCCCAACAGATGGCGCCAACAGTACTATTTGTCAGGAGTTCTTGAAGAAGTAACAATCGACACTCTTTCCAGGAGCCCATTGCTGCTTCGAGAAAGGTCTGATGAACCATGAAACAACATCTAGAATACTGGAGGTCACTTCGCGTCGATCTAGAAGGTGAGTCACTGCCACGGTTCTCACAGACGCCGCCAAGCGGCTTGTGCGGTCGTGGTTCGCGTAAGAGCATAGATCGGCCATGAAGCTCTAGCGAGTAGGAGACTCGCCCAACAGATGGCGCCAACAGTACTATTTGTCACACTGCCCCCTCCCTAAAGTCATTCCGTCCCGGAATGATCTTACTGGCGGTGGATGTCGATATCGGCACGACGGCCCTCTCTTGCAGTAGGAGTTCTTGAAGAAGTAACAATCCTCACTCTTTCCAGGAGCCCATTGCTGCTTCCAGAAAGGTCTGATGAACCACAAAGCGGCATCTAGAATATTGGAGGTCACTTCGCGTCGATCTAGAAGGTGAGTCACTGCCACGGTTCTCACAGACGCCGCCAAGCGCCTTGTGCGGTCGTGGTTCGCGTAAAAGCATAGATCGACCAGGAAGCTCTGGCGAGTAGGAGACTCGCCCAACAGATGGCGCCAACAGTACTATTTGTCACACTGCCCCCTCCTTAAAGTCATTCCGTTCCGGAATGATCTTACTGGCGGTGGATGTCGATATCGGCACGACGGCCCTCTCTTGCAGTAGGAGTTCTTGAAGAAGTAACAATCCACACTCTTTCCAGGAGCCCGTTGCTGCTTCGAGAAAGGTCTGATGAACCACAAAACGGCATCTAGAATACTGGAGGTCACTTCGCGTCGATCTAGAAGGTGAGTCACTGCCGCGGTTCTCACAGACGCCGCCAAGCGGCTTGTGCGGTCGTGGTTCGCGTAAGAGCATAGATCGGCCATGAAGCTCTGGCGAGTAGGAGACTCGCCCAACAGATGGCGCCAACAGTACTATTTGTCACACTGCCCCCTCCCTAAAGTCATTCCGTCCCGGAATGATCTTACTGGCGGTGGATGTCGATATCGGCACGACGGCCCTCTCTTGCAGTAGGAGTTCTTGAAGAAGTAACAATCCACACTCTTTCCAGGAGCCCATTGATGCTTCCAGAAAGGTCTGATGAACCACAAAGCGTCGTCTAGAATATTGGAGGTCACTTTGCGTCGATCTAGAAGGTGAGTCACTGCCGCGGTTCTCACAGACGCCGCCAAGCGGCTTGTGCGGTCGTGGTTCGCGTAAGAGCATAGATCGGCCATGAAGCTCTGGCGAGTAGGAGACTCGCCCAACAGATGGCACCAACAGTACTATTTCCAACAGTACTATTTGTCACACTGCCCCCTCCCTAAAGTCATTCCGTCCCGGAATGATCTTACTGGCGGTGGATGTCGATATCGGCACGACGGCCCTCTCTTGCAGTAGGAGTTCTTGAAGAAGTAACAATCCACACTCTTTCCATGAGCCCATTGCTGCTTCCAGAAAGGTCTGATGAACCACAAAGCGGCATCTAGAATATTTGAGGTCACTTCGCGTCGATCTAGAAGGTGAGTCACTGCCGCGGTTCTCACAGACGCCGCCAAGCGGCTTGTGCGGTCGTGGTTCGCGTGAAAGCATAGATCGGCCATGAAACACTGGCGAGTAGGAGACTCGCCCAATAGATGGCGCCAACAGTACTATTTGTCACACTGCCCCCTGCCCAAAGCCATTCCGTCCCGGAATGATCTTACTGGCGGTGGATGTCGATATCGGCACGACGGCCCTCTCTTGCAGTAGGAGTTCTTGAAGAAGTAACAATCCACACTCTTTCCAGGAGCCCATTGCTGCTTCGAGAAAGGTCTGATGAACCATAAAACAACATCTAGAATACTGGAGGTCACTTCGCGTCGATCTAGAAGGTGAGTCACTGCCACGGTTCTCCCAGACTCCGCCAAGCGGCTTGTGCGGTCGTGGTTCGCGTAAGAGCATAGATCGGCCATGGAGCTCTGGCGAGTAGGAGACTCGCCCAACAGATGGCGCCAACAGTACTATTTGTCACACTGCCCCCTCCCTAAAGTCATTCCGTCCCGGAATGATCTTACTGGCGGTGGATGTCGATATCGGCACGACGGCCCTCTCTTGCAGTAGGAGTTCTTGAAGAAGTAACAATCCACACTCTTTCCAGGAGCCCATTGCTGCTTCGAGAAAGGTCTGATGAACCATAAAACAACATCTAGAATACTGGAGGTCACTTCGCGTCGATCTAGAAGGTGAGTCACTGCCACGGTTCTCACAGACGCCGCCAAGCGGCTTGTGCGGTCGTGGTTCGCGTAAGAGCATAGATCGGCCATGAAGCTCTAGCGAGTAGGAGACTCGCCCAACAGATGGCGCCAACAGTACTATTTGTCACACTGCCCCCTCCCTAAAGTCATTCCGTCCCGGAATGATCCTACTGGCGGTGGATGTCGATATCGGCACGACGGCCCTCCCTTGCAGTAGGAGTTCTTGAAGAAGTAACAATCCACACTCTTTCCAGGAGCCCATTGCTGCTTCCAGAAAGGTCTGATGAACCACAAACCGGCATCTAGAATATTGGAGGTCACTTCGCGTCGATCTAGAAGGTGAGTCACTGCCGCGGTTCTCACAGACGCCGCCAAGCGGCTTGTGCGGTCGTGGTTCGCGTAAGAGCATAGATCGGCCATGAAGCTCTGGCGAGTAGGAGACTCGCCCAACGATGGCGCCAACAGTACTATTTGTCACAGTGCCCCCTGCATAAAGTCATTCCGTCCCGGAATGATCTTACTGGCGGTGGATGTCGATATCGGCACGACGGCCTTCTCTTGCAGTAGGAGTTCCTGAAGAAGTAACAATCTACACTCTTTCCAGGAGCCCATTGCTGCTTCCAGAAAGGTCTGATGAACCACAAAGCGGCATCTAGAATATTGGAGGTCACTTCGCGTCGATCTAGAAGGTGAGTCACTGCCGCGGTTCTCACAGACGCCGCCAAGCGGCTTGTGCTGTCGTGGTTCGCGTAAAAGCATAGATCGGCCATGAAGCTCTGGCGAGCAGGAGACTCGCCCAACAGATGGCGCCAACAGTACTATTTGTCACACTGCCCCCTCCCTAAAGTCATTCCGTCCCGGAATGATCTTACTGACGGTGGATGTCGATATCGGCACGACGGCCCTCTCTTGCAGTAGGAGTTCTTGAAGAAGTAACAATCCACACTCTTTCCAGGAGGTAGCCGTCTATGATTGTGACAACATACCGGAAATCGAATGCCTGTATACCTGAAGACTACCTCAAGCATGCTTCGGATGATTCTCCAGTCCAGGTTGTCCAGTTCACATGCCAGCTTAGGTATTGCCAGTTTTCTCGGGTCCTCGACAAGCAATACTTCTCTAAGCGAACACAAAGCGTTCCAAACATCTTCATAGTTCGGCTTCTGATACGAAGCTTTCTTGATAACCAGATAGAAGATCTTTCGGTTGATACCCTCTTCAGTTATCTGGGTTAGATTGTTGCAGCTCGTGCACTCTTCCAAACTTCCTAAGAAAGACCTTTGCTGTATCTCTCGACATTCGCAAGTCTTGAGACACACAGTGTGTCAGGGCACACTCTGGTGAAGTGGTAAACAGATCTTGCTGTACATCACATGTCACGCCATACCGGCTTTTATGGCCATTAGCATGGTGAGCCATAAATTGGTCAAATGTCATGTCCGGTTCTGGTTGCATTTGCCGCACCGCTGCATTTTCGTTGTTTCCATAATAAGGTGCAAGGCGGTTGAAATGTACAATTCGGGCTTTACCGCGTAGTGCCTTCTGAATCCCAGGATGATTAAAGTTTAGGCGACAACCCTTGTCGCCTCTTTGGGTCGTAAAACTAAACCCTATCACCGTTGTCATACCTCTGGTCTTTGGCATTAACGTCATAAGCTTCCTTCATCCGGTCGCTGGCACCTTGAATTGAAACACGAACCTAGCTATGGATGTCATCCATTCTTCTACGCAGCTCACTTGCGTAGTCTTCTCCGGCAATATCAGTTCCTGGTGGACAGCCAAACTTTAGATCGCATGGGAGAAGAAGTTCTCTTCCCATAACTATTCGAGCCGGGGTCTCTCCTGTGCTTTCATGAATCGACGATCGGTAAGCCAATAAGAAGAGATAAAGAAATCTATCCCAATCTCTTTGATGCCTAGATACTACCTTAGCCAGATACCGGTTAATGGTCCTATTCATGCTCTCCACTATCCCAAGAATTTGACAGATACTTTGGAACAGATTTGACTCGAAATTGCACCCTTGGTCTGAATGTAACCTAAAGGTACACCAAATCGACAGATCCATTCCTTTACTAAAGCATCGGCTACCGTAGAGGTTTGCTGATTTGACAGAGCGTATGCCTCAACCCACTTGCTGAAGTAATACATTACCACAATGATGTATTTATTCCCTGCTTCACTTTCTAAGATACTCGCCCAACAGATGTTGCCTTGTTTTATAAAATATTCTCCCGACAAGTATTTCAGTGCGGACCTGTGCGCCCAAAAGCATGTCACAAAAACTGATCGAAATGATTTCCGTTTTGCTCGACGCAGAGACTTGTTGTCAAACACAAGCACATAATATTATTATTGAGACAGGGCGGTACTCAAACTTCTAAAGGGCTATAACGTTGTTACTTTAATGTTACCAGAAAAATGTTATAGGAAAAAACATTTCTTTTGATCAGATCTACTCACTGTTAAAATAAATGACTCTAAAATTATCTGTCTCAGGCAAGTAATACACTGTCGTTTTCAATAAAGTTTTCAGCAAATTGATGTCATGTCAATCCAGGCATTATGTCAGATTTGATCCACAATTCGGGAAGGGATTAAAGGCTCCACTCCGATTAACCAACTTTTGATGCAATTTTAAGAAAACGCTTTTTAATTGGTCACTGTTGATCCGGATCATAGGTTTTGATCTCCGGATCAACTGAAAAAATGCTTTTATAGCTAAACCAAGTGATTATGTATTTATAAAGAATTTCTTGATTTAATTTCATATCAAATCATACATTTTTGGCTAGTTTGAGAGATATTTTAGAAAAAGTCGACTATATTCATTAGATCCATTACTATAGTAAAATTCACGAAAGGTGACGATTACGTCATCATTTTAGTCTGTAGTAAAGACAAACGACAGCGATTTGTGAATATAAGTTTCAGATATGTTAGACAGAGACAAAGACGAATAGTTAGGTTACGTTAAAGCAGGTTAGGTTGTTTTCTAATGATACTTCGGTCTTTGGTGTTCCTGTCTTAAGGTGTTCTACTCATAACTGTTTTTTTTCAAAACAAAAACTCCCCACTAAAATTATTATTAAGGCATCACTCAAAACTATGACTATATAGTCAAAATCACGAAAGATGACTATTACATCACATCGTAAATTGTACCGAAGTAATCACTGGACGTACGTCGATGATAAGATCACGATGTCAGGGACATAATGACAACAAATTTATATTATGATTTTGCGAAGTTAGGTTATTTCACTGATTATTTTTATTTTCATTTTATTTCATGGTTTTGAGTGATGCCTTAATAATAATTTTAGTGGGGAGTTTTTGTATTGAAAAAAATATTTATGAGTTGAATACCTAGAGACAGGAACACCAAAGACCAAAGTATTATTCGAAAACAACCTAACCTGCTTTAACATAACCTAACTATTCATCTTTCAAATATGATCGATCATGCAACATGGAAACATCGCCTATCTTTGTCGGATACATGCAAATTAGCATTACAGTTTGTTTAGACTTTAGACAATAAAATTCTGTTTGTCTCTGTCTAACATACCTGAAACTTCGTTAAAAATATTCCTACAAATCGCTGTCGTTAGTCTTTGCTACAGAATAAAATGATGACGTAATCGTCATCTTTCGTGATTTCGACTATAGAAAGATGCCTTCTCATCGGTCCATTATGATCCGGATCAAGAATGTTTATCTTCTATCAGTAAAATTGGGCTTAAGCATAGTTGTACCATGGACTTACATGTGGCAAACAACCATTTTCTGCGACCTGCGGCAAGATATATACCTTTAGAATCTTTGTCATATATATCCAACCCTAGCAAAAGTAGAAACATATGGTTCATATCAGCAACTACATATATTGTTCCAGACTTTCTTCCTCTGAGGATTTCCAGGGAGTTTTTCCAGATCATCTTAGATTATACACACTCAAATATCAACCCATGTATTCATGTTCCTGCGGACCGATTTGACGTCTACTGATTAAAAAGTAATTTTCCGATTCAAACAGTTTCCATACCTATCCAATTACCTGTTAAAAAACAATTTATGTAAATAATTAATGGAACCTTTCTCATATGGAAATTGGAAATCGTAATTTCGATTATTGGGTATCATCAACATTCGTGGGATGCTTGGCATTACGTGTATGTTAGAATTGTTTTTTAGTTGTTATTTACCAAATTAGAGTTATTATGAAACTATAGTTAATTGCACTTAAGCTTTTTACTATAATTGAATTTTTTGTTAATATCTTAATTCTTATAATGGGTGATTTTTTTGCTAGTATCTTTTTGGCAACACTGTTTTTGACAGATGACGCGTGAATCGTGTCTTGTGTCATTGTCAAACTTGTTCAGTTTGGTCTATAATTTAACCATGAATCGACTTACGAACGAACAATGCTTGCGAATTATTGAATTTTACTATCAAAATTCATGGTCGGTTAAGAGAGTGCATCGAGCACTGCTTCCAATTTATGGGCAATTTGGTCGACCTACTGAGGGAGCTATTCGGAAGCTTGTGACTAAATTTCGAACCCAGTTTACATTATTGGACATTAAACCACCAACACGCAGACGTAGAGTGAGGACTGAAGAAAATATTGCGGCTGTATCCGCCAGTGTTAGTGATGACCGTGAAATGTCGATTCGCCGCCGTTCGCAGCAATTGGGCCTCTGTTACTCCACTACGTGGAAAATTTTGCGGCAGGATATGGGTGTAAAACCTTATAAGATACAGCTGGTGCAAGAATTGAAGCCACACGACCTCCCACAACGTTTCCCACTTGGTGAATGAGCGCTGGCAAAGTTGGAGGAAGATCAACATTTTTATCGAAAAATTGTGTTCAGCGACGAAGCTCATTTCTGGTTGAATGGGCACGTTAACAAGCAAAATTGCCGCATCTGGAGTGAAGACCAGTCAGAAGCATTGCAAGAGCTACCTATGAATCCCGAAAAAATCACTGTTTAGTGTGGATTATGGGCCGGTGGCATCATCGGTCCGTACTTCTTCAAAGACGACAATGGCCGGAACGTAACTGTGAATGGCGAGCGCTACCGTGCGATGATAACAAACTTTTTTTGCCCAAGATGGAAGAGCTGGACTTGGCTCACATGTGGTTTCAACAAGACGGTGCCACATGCCACACCGCACACGAAACAATGGCCCTATTGAGAGGCGAGTTCGGTGAACAGTTTATCTCACGTTTGGGGCCCGTCAATTGGTCGCCTAGATCGTGTGATTTAACGCCGTTGGACTATTTATTGTCGGACCATGTTAAGGCTAATGTCTACAGGGATAAACCAGCAACGATTGACGCACTGGAAGCCAATATTGAAGCATTTATTCGTGAGATACCGGCCGATATGTTGGAGAGAGTGTGCCAAAATTGGACCTTGCGCATGGGCCATCTAAAGCGGAGCCGCGGCCAACATTTACATGAAATAATCTTTAAACATTAAATTATATCGACCGTTCTATCGACTCAAATAAAGATTTAATCGTTTTTTCAAATTTTTTGTGTTTTTTTTTGAAAATCAAATCCTCTTAAAAAATCACCCGTTATTTATTTTATTCCAAATAAATTAGTCATACTTGATTGTTGGACACACAATTGCAGTAACAATAAACTCTCGTATACTTGAAAAATATGTTCTGCTTTTTAGTGTGTGTTTTTTAGTTTTCTTAAACTATAATTTATTTTCTGAATTTTTAGTCTCGAAACACGAACAACCCTTTCAGAGGTCCGATAAAAGGTAGTACGCCTGATGCCTGAGGTTGACGCTAGCGGCGTGACATTTTTCATCACTGGCTTGCCATTCATCCCGGAGCACGCTTCTCACCTTTTATTGGATTAGGAGAATTTAAATTTTCGATTTTCAAATTTCTTTTCAAATTTTAGAGTGCCCAAAAACATTTAAAAATCTCCAACTTTTTTAAAATAACGGATTTTTTCCCAATTTTCAAAAACAAATTTAATTCCAAATTTCAAAATTTTCTCCAAAATTTACGATTTTTTTCAAATCTCGTAATTTCCAAAATTTGTTCGAAAATCCCACGCTTTTCTCAAAATTTACAAATTCCCAAATTATTTTCCAAATTCCGAATTTAATGAATATATTC